CTGGTCTGTTGCACCTGGTAGCCAGAGCTCATGACACGCGTGGCCACACGCATTCCGAACTGCATTCCAACGTCCTGAGTGACTGGTTTCTCGACCTTCATGGCCATGGATAGTGTTGACTCGACGTAGGGTGTCGGTGTCACATGTGTCACTACTTCACTGGATGTCTGACAGAGACTTGAGAACTTACTGGTCTGCATAGCGACATTCGACGTCTTCACAGTCACAGGAACCGGTTCGATCTTAGGCTGAACGGTCTGACAAGCCATCTCTTCGGTATTCACGTACCGATGTCCACAGCTGGTACACAGACTCTTCTCGACCATTTTCGGTTCTAACTTGTGTGTGGTCAGACTGACGACCGGTGTGCTCACCCTATCCACTTGCACTTCAGCATTCACACTCGGTCTCTTCACGAAAGCTGCAGCCGAATCAAGCACACTTTCCGGCGACTTCATTAACACACTGGTTGCACTATCCACAACACACACACTTTCCTTCACCGTCTGCACACAGGCTTCCAATGTTTGGATGCGTTTCGGTGGTTCGTGGACCGGAACAACTGGTGTCTCTGGTTTCACTGGTGCATGTATCTCACTCCAAGAATCCACCATGCACAATTGGACAGGTTTGGCTTGTGACGTCGCATCGGTGCGTTTCAACGACAAATGGGCAGCACCGTCGAGTAGAGATTTGTGTGGCTCAGTCTGTGCACCCACGTCGGACGAGGAGACTGGTACTGTGTCGATTTGTTGGTCGACTGTGGAACGTTTCACGAACTGTGTGGCTTCCACTAGTGATGTTTTGCGAACAGGTTCAGGTGTGGGTAACTCCAATGAGGCGGTCTCGGTGACGAGAGGTGCTTGGACTTGAACGGTGGGTTTAGAGACAATCACATGCTCACTGGATTCCGTGACGTGTGTGGTAACGGAGGTCGCCTGTGTGGCAGTGTCAGTCAGTTGGCGTGGTGGTGGCTGTTTGACAGGCGGTTCTGCGTAGGAGGTACTCACTGACATCATATGATCAGGTTTCACTGTCTTCATTTCTCTGTGATCCACACTGGTCACAACTGGTCGTTCGGTTTGAGTCACCTGTACTTCTCGTTCTGCTACTCCCACTGCTTCCGTCAGTGTGTGGCTGCTGGTCTGTTGCACCTGGTAGCCAGAGCTCATGACACGCGTGGCCACACGCATTCCGAACTGCATTCCAACGTCCTGAGTGACTGGTTTCTCGACCTTCATGGCCATGGATAGTGTTGACTCGACGTAGGGTGCCGGTGTCACATGTGTCACTACTTCACTGGTTGTCTGACAGAGACTTGAGAACTTACTGGTCTGCATAGCGACATTCGACGTCTTCACAGTCACAGGAACCGGTTCGATCTTAGGCTGAACGGTCTGACAAGCCATCTCTTCGGTATTCACGTACCGATGTCCACAGCTGGTACACAGACTCTTCTCGACCATTTTCGGTTCTAACTTGTGTGTGGTCAGACTGACGACCGGTGTGCTCACCCTATCCACTTGCACTTCAGCATTCACACTCGGTCTCTTCACGAAAGCTGCAGCCGAATCAAGCACACTTTCCGGCGACTTCATTAACACACTGGTTGCACTATCCACAACACACACACTTTCCTTCACCGTCTGCACACAGGCTTCCAATGTTTGGATGCGTTTCGGTGGTTCGTGGACCGGAACAACTGGTGTCTCTGGTTTCACTGGTGCATGTATCTCACTCCAAGAATCCACCATGCACAATTGGACAGGTTTGGCTTGTGACGTCGCATCGGTGCGTTTCAACGACAAATGGGCAGCACCGTCGAGTAGAGATTTGTGTGGCTCAGTCTGTGCACCCACGTCGGACGAGGAGACTGGTACTGTGTCGATTTGTTGGTCGACTGTGGAACGTTTCACGAACTGTGTGGCTTCCACTAGTGATGTTTTGCGAACAGGTTCAGGTGTGGGTAACTCCAATGAGGCGGTCTCGGTGACGAGAGGTGCTTGGACTTGAACGGTGGGTTTAGAGACAATCACATGCTCACTGGATTCCGTGACGTGTGTGGTAACGGAGGTCGCCTGTGTGGCAGTGTCAGTCAGTTGGCGTGGTGGTGGCTGTTTGACAGGCGGTTCTGCGTAGGAGGTACTCACTGACATCATATGATCAGGTTTCACTGTCTTCATTTCTCTGTGATCCACACTGGTCACAACTGGTCGTTCGGTTTGAGTCACCTGTACTTCTCGTTCTGCTACTCCCACTGCTTCCGTCAGTGTGTGGCTGCTGGTCTGTTGCACCTGGTAGCCAGAGCTCATGACACGCGTGGCCACACGCATTCCGAACTGCATTCCAACGTCCTGAGTGACTGGTTTCTCGACCTTCATGGCCATGGATAGTGTTGACTCGACGTAGGGTGCCGGTGTCACATGTGTCACTACTTCACTGGTTGTCTGACAGAGACTTGAGAACTTACTGGTCTGCATAGCGACATTCGACGTCTTCACAGTCACAGGAACCGGTTCGATCTTAGGCTGAACGGTCTGACAAGCCATCTCTTCGGTATTCACGTACCGATGTCCACAGCTGGTACACAGACTCTTCTCGACCATTTTCGGTTCTAACTTGTGTGTGGTCAGACTGACGACCGGTGTGCTCACCCTATCCACTTGCACTTCAGCATTCACACTCGGTCTCTTCACGAAAGCTGCAGCCGAATCAAGCACACTTTCCGGCGACTTCATTAACACACTGGTTGCACTATCCACAACACACACACTTTCCTTCACCGTCTGCACACAGGCTTCCAATGTTTGGATGCGTTTCGGTGGTTCGTGGACCGGAACAACTGGTGTCTCTGGTTTCACTGGTGCATGTATCTCACTCCAAGAATCCACCATGCACAATTGGACAGGTTTGGCTTGTGACGTCGCATCGGTGCGTTTCAACGACAAATGGGCAGCACCGTCGAGTAGAGATTTGTGTGGCTCAGTCTGTGCACCCACGTCGGACGAGGAGACTGGTACTGTGTCGATTTGTTGGTCGACTGTGGAACGTTTCACGAACTGTGTGGCTTCCACTAGTGATGTTTTGCGAACAGGTTCAGGTGTGGGTAACTCCAATGAGGCGGTCTCGGTGACGAGAGGTGCTTGGACTTGAACGGTGGGTTTAGAGACAATCACATGCTCACTGGATTCCGTGACGTGTGTGGTAACGGAGGTCGCCTGTGTGGCAGTGTCAGTCAGTTGGCGTGGTGGTGGCTGTTTGACAGGCGGTTCTGCGTAGGAGGTACTCACTGACATCATATGATCAGGTTTCACTGTCTTCATTTCTCTGTGATCCACACTGGTCACAACTGGTCGTTCGGTTTGAGTCACCTGTACTTCTCGTTCTGCTACTCCCACTGCTTCCGTCAGTGTGTGGCTGCTGGTCTGTTGCACCTGGTAGCCAGAGCTCATGACACGCGTGGCCACACGCATTCCGAACTGCATTCCAACGTCCTGAGTGACTGGTTTCTCGACCTTCATGGCCATGGATAGTGTTGACTCGACGTAGGGTGCCGGTGTCACATGTGTCACTACTTCACTGGTTGTCTGACAGAGACTTGAGAACTTACTGGTCTGCATAGCGACATTCGACGTCTTCACAGTCACAGGAACCGGTTCGATCTTAGGCTGAACGGTCTGACAAGCCATCTCTTCGGTATTCACGTACCGATGTCCACAGCTGGTACACAGACTCTTCTCGACCATTTTCGGTTCTAACTTGTGTGTGGTCAGACTGACGACCGGTGTGCTCACCCTATCCACTTGCACTTCAGCATTCACACTCGGTCTCTTCACGAAAGCTGCAGCCGAATCAAGCACACTTTCCGGCGACTTCATTAACACACTGGTTGCACTATCCACAACACACACACTTTCCTTCACCGTCTGCACACAGGCTTCCAATGTTTGGATGCGTTTCGGTGGTTCGTGGACCGGAACAACTGGTGTCTCTGGTTTCACTGGTGCATGTATCTCACTCCAAGAATCCACCATGCACAATTGGACAGGTTTGGCTTGTGACGTCGCATCGGTGCGTTTCAACGACAAATGGGCAGCACCGTCGAGTAGAGATTTGTGTGGCTCAGTCTGTGCACCCACGTCGGACGAGGAGACTGGTACTGTGTCGATTTGTTGGTCGACTGTGGAACGTTTCACGAACTGTGTGGCTTCCACTAGTGATGTTTTGCGAACAGGTTCAGGTGTGGGTAACTCCAATGAGGCGGTCTCGGTGACGAGAGGTGCTTGGACTTGAACGGTGGGTTTAGAGACAATCACATGCTCACTGGATTCCGTGACGTGTGTGGTAACGGAGGTCGCCTGTGTGGCAGTGTCAGTCAGTTGGCGTGGTGGTGGCTGTTTGACAGGCGGTTCTGCGTAGGAGGTACTCACTGACATCATATGATCAGGTTTCACTGTCTTCATTTCTCTTTGTTCATCTCCGTTCATTTCTTCCTTTTGTGGTTGCACTGGTGTATCTATCCCCCATGACGATCCACTATACACACTTTGGCTTGTTTCTGTTTTTTCTTGTCTTCTTCTTGTTTCGTATTGATGTTCTACTTTGCTGTCTTGTGTTTTGATAGTTTTTTTTTCCTCTCTCTTTTCTGTTTTTTCTGTTTTGTCCATTTTTGTTTGTGTCCAACTATCATATTGGAATTTTGTTGTTTGTAGCTGGCTTCTATTTTCATTTTGTAGATTTTATCTTTTAGGCTTGATATTGCCTTCTTCTCTTCGTCGGTTTGTTCGTATTGTTGGAAGTTTTCTTCATATTTTCCTATTTTTTTCCGAAGAACTTTCCTCTGATTTAACTGTGCTATGTATTTGTCTTTGATCTACAAATGCGATATTTTGGGTTACTAATTTTTGATTCGGTTATCTGTCCAAACATTGCCCTAGTTTTTTTCTTCATTACTTGTTTCGATGTCGTACATTTCTGACATGGTTGTTTAGGTGTACTTTCTATAAGGTATGCTCCTGTTTGTCAAGAAGTCTTATTTGTTGTTGATACTGACAACCAAATTCACCTTTTAATCGTGGACTTTCTGGAACTTTTTCATGTGGTTTATGATCATCAGATGTAATTTCATATATTCCCACAGGGCTTTTCATTATTTCATAAGTTTGACAAGCTCTGTCGCCTCTGCCTTTAGATTTCAACTTTTCTACTTCTTGTTGAATGAGCTGATTGAATTGAGCTTCTGTTATCTCTTTTACATGTGCGTACTGCCTAACTGCGTAGATGAAATCTTCAGAGTGCTTTTCTGTTTGTGTTTGAACATTCTCTCTTTGTTTGGTAATTTGACGTGGTTGTTTTCGTAATTCTGTTATTGATTGTGAAGTTGTGGTTATAAGATCTCTAGTACAGCATTCAATGCTTCTGAAGGTTGGACGTGCTTCTATACCTATATCTGTGATTTGAACTTTGCTAGGCCTTGTATGAATTATTCTAGCTGACTCTTCAATTTTAGTCAAACTCTTTGCTTCTTCAACATGCTGCTTTTCTATCCATGTTCTCCGCGTAAATTTTGTTTTTTTCAAAGGATCTTCTGATTGCGTAGATTTTGAAATTGTTGACGGTTTCAAATTTTCTTGATCAATGGAATCAAGTATATTAGTTTCTTCAGTTGGCGCTACTTCGATATAGACAACTGAATAGCGCCCACCATCTTTTGTATCGATGTATTTTCTACTCTTGTATGTTATTGGTTTATCTTTTGTATCCATTGGCCGTTCAAGTGTTAACACATTTGTTTGTCAAGTGTAGTTACGAAATTTTTATTTTCTTTCAAGAAATCGTCCTCCGATTTTGTACGAAAATCTTGTTTTAAATGGTATTTTTGATAATCCTCAATTTCATCGTCGGTTGTACAAGAACTACCTGTACCAATACTTTGAATTTCTTCACTCGTAGTACAACTACACACCATTTCTTCATCATATGTGAATATAGCTGGCAGTATAAACGTTTTATGTGGAAATTTTAAACTACTTGTAAAACGTGGTTGTTTAATTTGTTTCGAATGAACGATATATGATGTTTCTGTTTCATCAACCGATTCATAAGTACTTTCTGAATTTATATACTCTGAACCTGAACTTGACAGCCATTCATCATCAGAACTTGATGATAATGAATAAATATTAAATTGATTTTTGTCTTTTGTTTGTTTATTCCATATTCTTAATTGATTTAATAAACTATCTAATTTTTTCTTATCCTTCTGAGCTAAATCACTGACAAAATAAGAAAAAAGAAAACAGGATAATGAGAAAATAAAACAATTAACCATATTTTCACAGATTGAAATCATGAGTCAGTTGGAGCTAGACCACCATTGAAAACCTGGAAGCACTAGACGGCCGTTTCGTCCTAGTACGGGACTCCTCAGCAGTGCGCGTGGACGATCCTGCACCCCGCGGGATTCGAACCCAGGACTTACTGGCTTCGCGCGCGAGCACTTAACCATTAGACCACTGAGCCGGCATCCAACGGTGTTAATGTCTAACTTCAACCAATCCACGAAGTTGCGCCACCATATACCATTGTCTTCAGTGAGCTGATATCTCACAACAGACCTGGTTGAACTCCACTGGTAACGGCTTCCCACTAGAACTCCAGGAGTATCTCTTGAAGTCAGTCACTAGTGAGCAGATGATTATTATCAGAAGGGTTTTTAGAGATTCAATCTGTGAAAATTTCTAAAATCTCCACAAACCCCTTCTGATAATTAACCATATTGTTAAATAACCTGATATATGCCAATTATTCTCAAATCAAACTATAGTGATCTAATTGATTATTGAATAAAGGTCATTTGTTTGTTTTATGAATGTCATTTTACTGTGATTTAACAACTTAAAAATCAAAATGAATTTCATTTCAGTAATGAATACGTAGAAAAATATTGGATTCAAATGATGTTGCTTACTTGACAAGTGTCACAGTTTCCATCATATGAAAACTTTGCTCTTGAAGATCATTGAGTTTTTGTGATAAATCAAGTGGTATAATGTTTTCTTGTTCATATTGTTTTATAGTTCTCATATGAGCCTTTTTAAATAAATAAAAAATTATGCCAAAAATATGGTTACTTATAGATTATTATTTTTTATTTCAAACAATATGAAGTACTATTCATGATTATGTACAAAACATACTTTGAATAACTTCAATGCTAAACATATATTCCTGAATCCTATTAATAATGTTTGAACAACGGTTAGTAGGTTTAGTAATTAAGATTCCGGAGTGTTGTAATTGTCATTTAGTTTTTCGGCAGTTAACTAATAATCTGGGGTGTAAGAACGAATATTTTTATTGTTGCTTATCTAAGAAAACCATATACTGTCATATGGCTCCATAGTAGGAAAGAAATGTAATTATGTATGTGCCTAATATAACTAAATTAATTGTCCATCTGGATATGGGTATTTACTCTATACTCCTGTCTGATTCAGTGAAGACATATATATACATATATATGCTAGAGGGTTATGTAAGTTTATTTGTTTCTTCTTTTTAGATTAAGAAACCAATGGCAGTAATTGAACGTAACTAATAGAACATAAAATTTGCCGGGCGTTTGGCAGGATTATATGAAACTAAAGGTCTTGGTGGTAATTAAACGTTAAAAGTAAGCTATGTAAATGATCATAGTTCCTTTAATCTTTAACTAGCATGTAAAGCAACGGGTCGAACAACGGTAATTTAAGTTGGGTAAATAACTTCACTTTACAATCAGTTTCTCACTATAGGCTACATAAAATCATTATCAACCAGATGGTTGTAATTCAATTATCGAGCTTTCTAGCTCCTGATCAGCCAATTAAACCAAAACTTATACTTGGTCAAGTTCATCATCTCGTTTCTAAATATCATCTTTCATGGTGAAGGTCATTGGAAGACTATATAAAATCTGTATCTTTGTATATCTATTCGACACTGATTATTAAATTGATTAATAAATAACTTTTAATGTTATCTATTGATTCTTTATCAATGTGATCTTTGTTGTAAGATTTCACGTTTTATATATAATGGAAATCACAATTATACACATAAATAAACTGAACTACATATAAGAAATTCATGAGATCTATCACCTCACCTTATAACTACATTTATCGAATTCAGATATTTGCTCACACCTTTCTTTTATAATTAATTATACCTTATATAGTCAATATTAGTAATTAAACCAATCAATTAATTTCAAGGGTTAAGATCATGAGTCAATTGAAGCTAGACCACCATGGAAAACCTGGAAGCACTGGACGGCCGTTTCGTCCTATAAGCGCTCGCGCGTTAGACCGATAGGACGTACGCGCCTCTTCGATTCCACTGCTAGCCACTATCCATCTTTGCTTAACATAGATTTTCATTTGTAGATCAGATGGATTAGGTTAATATTTCATATTACAAGTATAATAACTCAGTGGTTATTGATCATTATGAAATAACTAGTACTATAAATATATGTATGTATATATAATATACGATTAAATTTACTTTGGGTAAAATCTAACAACTCACTTTATTCCAATCCAGCAAACTTTGAAATATTGCAATTTCTGTTCGACGTAGATGAATGCTATCTGACGTACGTGTTCCAACTGCAAATAAATTTATAAAGAATAAAATAAATGGATTGATCATACTTTTTTTTCTTATACTACTTTTTATCTATTGAGTAGAGTAGTAGTATTCATAACAGAAACGTCACTCATTACTGAGAAAAAACTTAATTTTTTGGGTGGTTTATGCCAAAGACTAAGATCGACTAAGGCACAATTGAAAATCGAAGAGCACTGAGGCTTTATCACATACTAAAAACAGCTAATTTTCATTCCGTGACGGAAATTACCTAAAACGTTTTAGGTAGCGTTCCTGAGATTCGAGTATTCAGACATTAATAGTCACTAAATGAAAATATTCAGTGACAATAATCTGAAATTAATGTACAAAAATAAATTATCTAATAGGTGTTAAAATTATAGTTAAAGAAGAGTTGGTAACTTGATTCCAGTGTTGTTTATATTATGAATTTAGTTGATTCGATCATTTTGGTAAAACACTACGATCGTATTCGAGTGATGAACCCTTAATAGGATAATGTTTGTTTTGAAAATCACTGACAACCTTTATCTTTTATATTGAGTAAACACTGAGACTCAAGTGCATCAGTAACCAACCCATACATATCAAATTTTTAACTACAGTAGCAACAACCCAAGAACTGACAAAACTAGCTAAGTGCAAACATTACTAATGAAGGAAAAGAACACACTCCAGCACACTTACAGAGAGAAAAAAATAAAATAAATACTTCATTGCTATATTTAAAAAGAATTGGCGACCCATGCAAATTCATCAAAAAATATCAGTGTAGACCATCAGCAAAAACGAAATCAAATACAGAAACCAATAAATGGATCAACCTTCCATATATAAAAGACATCAGAAATTGGAAAGACATTATTGAATCTGTTTAGAATAATTGTAGCACATAAACCGAAAAATCACTTCCCTCAGTCTTATACGAAGCGGGGGATGTGGTGATAAATGAAGTAAAGTCAAACATCGTCCATAAAATAAGGTGATCCAACTGTGCACTATATCGGACAAAGTGGACGTCCTGCTCGTTTTCACATGGACGAATATCAAGCAGCGGTCAGACGCCATGGTATATCTTCGCCTATATCAATGCATGTAGACGCACATTCGGCAGAAAAAAATGTTAAAAACTCGGATCAAAGAAACATTGAGGACACTAGAGACGTTTAGAAGCTTGCGACTCAGGTGAATTAGGAATCAAAAACACTTCGAAATCGATCCGATTTATCAACCAATCAAAAGCTCATAAGCAAAGCTAGGACCAAGAGTCAGATCAATGACAGAGACAATCAAAATAAAGATGTAGACAATGACAGGTTAAACGACAACAATAACCAATCAAAATTGAGGTCGATAGAACAAGCTTTCAACCATATAGGGAGAAATTCAAATACTTCACTTTTACTTGAAGTTTGTGCTGATGATGTTGTTCAGAAGAACAACGAAGGCTCCACGATGAAACTATCCAGCTCAGCAAATGAAACTCTACTAAAATATACATGTATAAAAATGCAATTCACAAGTTTAAAGTCAATTTTATAGAATAAAAGTAACAATTATTAATAAATATATGATCTTTCAGAAGAAAACAAAATGTCATTTTATTTAATTGATCTTTCTCATTGTTTCCTTGTAGATACCATCAAATTATTTTAAAGAATTAAAACATACCGTTAGGAAAAACTTACATGTTTTTGTTTTATTCCAATGTTCACGTGTAGCATCAATAAGTCGTAAGAATTCCTTATTAAATTTTCCGCCTCAGCTGTTGGTGGTTCAGTTAAAGAGAATACTAAGTTATTTAGAAATCGTTTAAATGCTTCATCATCATCTGTAGTTAAACCCTATTGATTGATCGAGATGGAATAAAATAACAATGTTGAAAAGGGTGAGAGCAATTTTAGTAACTTGTAATATTGAAAAGTTTAATAAAAACCACAATAAGAGGTAACCTCCTGCCCATTTACGATTCATTTGAACTTAGAGAGCCAAACACACCATGATTCTATGGCACACCTAAAAATCACAGGTCAAAATTTACCTCTCTACCGAGTTTTAGCACTGTTACGTCCTTGATCTGTCTGCCCACTAATATGCAGAAGATAGTTTATCGCAATCCAGGTTAAGAACTTTGCAAGATTGTTGACTAGTTTAACTTTGAGGCTAGTATGTGTGAGTTCAAAGTGAGACTACTGCTTTGGGTAGAGAGACGAAAAGTATTCTATCACCTGATTAGTTGACAAGCTTGCGAGAGAGAGAAAACGAGCCAACTGGAACACTACCCAATTTATTCCTGATTCCGATTCACACTCCGTTTCGGTTCCAATTCAGATAAGTGCAAAAAGATACATAAATAAGTAGGTAACCAACAAGACCACAATGCACAAACAATTAGGAAGATACAATTATGTCCAAAACTGGGAATCAGGGTAGAAAATAGAGTACGAAAGATTACGTCTAAATGATAATAGCTTTAGGACAGAAAAGGCGATGACAGTAAATCATAAATCAAACGAAAGCTTATGGTCTGTAGAATAAAACTAGGGACACAAATAAATGTTACTGTTTTACAAGCTTTGAATTCAACGAAATAACGTCCCCTGAAAAATGCCTTCCGTAGTTTTTCATAGTTTCTTATTTCTCTGTTCACATCAAGCATATTTAAAAGAATAGCTGATATGAATCTTGGAATCAATACAGAAATAGCTTAACTAGTAGGAATGGAAAAGATATATGAATATCATATAAAATGTGGTGGATGGGAGTGTGATTAGGAAACATTTAGTTTATTCATTGTTTACCAATGTATCAATAATCTAGGCAATCAAATTGTTGTATCAGAAAATAGTAAGTTAATATCATGATTAGAATTCTTAATTATTGTCTTAAATAATAGCTCATAAGATGTACAATGAATGTTCATTTTACCCTTAATAAAACATACTGCTAAAAAAAATCAATGAAACAGACATTGACTAATTCTATATTGGAAACTTCCTAATAGAAAAATATAATTTATAAAATTGTTACTAAGAAGCTTGTTAAACATTGCAGTACTCATTATTGTCAATGAAAACATCATTGTAGAGGAATGGTTAAATAATTGAACAATGTACACTTTGTGAATACCTTCATTTATGAAAAGTATATCATAAATGATGAGAATGCCAGTAGATCAGTAAAATGTATACAGAATTAATTCATTCATTTATCAAAAAATATATTTTTATAACTTCGCATCCACGAGATATTACACTTTAAATCTCCTCTTAGATGACGTCATATAAACGAGTTAAAGTTCATACGCAATATGGGTAGTTTTGCAATATTTATAATAAAGTATATGTAGGCAAGTATTAAGACATTAAAGATATTAAGTGTTCTTAAGAATCTTCTTATCATAAAATTCGTACTGAACATAAATATACCTAGTCACATCTTATAGTACAAATAATTCAGGTTTGTAAACGGAACGTTACTTCTGATCAATGTTCATTTATCATTTTCTAGTCGATCAAATAGAAGCTGTTCAATTAAAAGACAATCTAATAGTTGGATTCATGAGTTAATTGAAGCTAGACCACTAAGAAAAACCTGGAAGCACTGGACAGCCGTTTTGTCTTCTCAGCAGTGCGCATCCACAATGCCGCTTCGCAAGATTCGAACTCAGTGTCTCGCGAAGCAGGATCGTGGATGCGCGATGCTGAGTCTCATACTAGAACCAAACGGCCGTCCAGTGATTCAAGGTATTCCATGGTGGTCTAGCTTCAATTGACTGATGAATCGAACTATTAAACTACTAAAATCTCTACAATACCCTCTCTTCTCATAAATGAAAATTTGTCAAGTTTTGGTATAACAAAGGTTAAAACAATCTAAAGATAGTAAATTTGATAATTAACAACTACTACCAGATTTTAATCTGATAATTGTTTTTTTCTTATTCCAAATCATAGTATTTATATTTAAAAGAAGTTTATGATATTCTTATCCCTTTCATTGGTAAAGGGAAAAACAAACTTAATAAACTATCTTATCACCTTTTTATTTGCTTCAAAGTATTACATTACTGCTTGTATACTTTAATTTTGACTAATCACATATACTAGCATTTATTATTGAGTAACATATAATGATTATTGTTATAAATTTATAAGCTGTTTTAAACAATTACATTTTGAACGGTGGTCTAGTGGTTAAGCGCTCGCGCGCGAGACTGATAAGTTCTGGGTTTGAATCTCGTAAAGCGGGGTCGTGGATACGCACTGCTGGCCGTCCAGTGCTCCCAGGTTTTTCATGTTGGTCTAGCTTCAGTCGACTCATGATCTCAACTATTGCAATTACATTTTAACAAATTTGAATGAAATTATAGAATTTCATCTATTTAGTTACCTACTATTATTATCTTGTCGCCTATAATTAAATCCTATTGTTTTTTTAAATACAATGAACTTGATTTAAGTACTTAAGTAATGAAATTGATAATCTTTCACAACATAGTTTGTTTGCAACCTTTGTTATCCTATAAATTTGGGAATCAATTTAGTGGGTTTCACTATATAGTTAATGCATTCAGTAGTATAATATATATACTACCCGAATTTCACATACATACACATACACTAACATACAAACAAATAAATATGTGTAATTTTTTTTTAAATTTTAACAAGCTTACTTTTTATGATGTTTTTGATCTACGTCGAATTTTAAAGTATTCTCGGATTTCATCATGTTACTACTATCATCATATATGGAATTTTTTTATATCCTAACAGGAGTATGTTTTAACTTACCCTATTTTTTGATTAAGTTACTAACTATCAGTCAATTATGATAAGTATTCGTTTTATATGAAGTAACCGACTACTATTATGGAAAGAAGAAAGATCTTTGAGAAGATTTAAATGTACTAGCGGGAGAAAATCATAATAGGAAACAAGTGCTTTCTGATGATTGTACAGTGTTATTCAACGCTTCAAAGCTGTATATATTCTTTTAATTTAGAAGTACTTTATTGAATATATCTTCAAAGGAAGGTGAGAGGAACTGAACAACTATCTGGTGTTAAAACTTGGCAATTTTTAATTTCTATCAAGTTATTACATATTCCTATTGAAAGTAATGACATTACATTTTGACTGAAAATGATTTAGGGAGAACGAATTTAATAATCCACTTAGTATTGTTTGGCTTATATCTTCCCATTGAGGTTTAAGACTGCAATTGATCAGTCTGTTATTGGCATATGTGCATACTGTGCGTATGCTTCGATATTGCCTTTGTTCACAAGCTTTTGTAAGCAATGGTGGACAGTGGCCAGCAGTGGAATTCAGGACGCGCGTTTCGTCCTATTTGGGACTCGTCAGCTGAGATGCAGGTACATCCAGCCGACGATTCCCAAACAGGACGAAACGCACGTCCTGAATTCCACTGCTAGCCACTATCCACCATTGCTTACAAAAAGAATTTAATAATCTATCATAAAAAATACTACTAGTTAGAAATGGATTAAACAAGACGAGTCTTTATAAAAACAGATTTCCAGTATAAAATACTATAGTTTTAACAATTTACACGTTTATTTACCATAGTTAATCCCTTTAAAAGGAATGTTCTATGGGTTTTTGTTTTTGGATTGAAAATGCTTGTGAAGTAAGAGAATGTAACTATCCATATGTAATATCAAAGATATATATATATATATATATACAAAATATATTCAGGACTTACATCGCTTTCAATAAACCGTTGTAATAAGATAGTGAAAAATTGAAGACAAATTTTTAATTGTTCATCTATTATGTAATTCCAACTGTCCAATATAACTTTATACAGTCTATGAAAAATGAAAATATCGACATGATGTTGATTAAAATAAAACAATCAGATCCTAAGAAATTCATTAAAATGTTTCATAATTAATGAAAACATTTGTAAAAGTAATTAATAGTTTGTTTTATCCCCGAACTGATTAAGTTTATCTATACAATTTTACCTTACAATATATTTGAATCATCTCTATGAAGTAATAGGAACTATTGAAAGTCATTTTAAGACTTTCTAGACAAATAATTAGCAGATACTTCCTTAAATTTAATTAATAAATATTATGTCACATGATAATCATATAAACTTTCATTCAATAGGCCAAAAATCTGGTGATCAATAATTTTCGACTTATACACAATGTGATTATTATTAAACACTGATAATGGTTCACTTGGTATTGTTTTGCTTAAATTTTCCCCATTGAGGTTTAAGACTGTAATTGATCAATCTGTTATTGGTATATGTGCATACTGTGCGTATTGCCTCGATGTTGCCTTAATTCACGAAGTTTATAAGCAAAGGTGCTGGGTTCGAGTCCCGGAGTGAACATGAACTCTGAGATGTAGGTACATCCAGCGGATGAGTCTCGAATAGGATGAAACGCACGTCCTGGATTCCACTGCAAACCACTATCCATCTTTACTTACAATGGTTATTTAATGTTTTATTACTTTTATAATAATAATACTGTTTTATATGGAAATGTTTTTTTGTTTTTTCAATCTGAATAAATGTTATAGGGAGTTATATTGAAATCGATTGTTAACAAGGGAAATATTTCAGTACTAACTTTACGAAGAACCTTTTAACAGAATAAACTCAGTCTATTTAAAATATACGGGTCTATATTATTGGATCAAATTAAATTAATAATGTGATTTCTTCATGAAAATTTTTAACATACTATATAAAAAGGGAATATTTTCAAATATGAGCAAACTATTGAGGTCAATGATTTTGTATCTGAATCAACAGGGATATAGTAGTAAATATAAAACTTAAATCTTAAATGTTGAATACTATTTGTTACTGATCACTATGGATTGACATCAGACAGAAAACTATTAAAAGGACGATAAACTATAAACAGTCATTTGACCTTATTTTTAAAACTTCACAAAACTAAACATTTACGGCATAAAATAGAATTGAATGTGGAAACTGATGGTCAAAATACTACATGATAGAACTAGGTCGCTTAGTTAGATTTAGATAGTTAACATTTTATAAGTTTATTCACTTTGCAATATTGTACAACCATCATTGGTTATATATAACTCGTAACCTAAAGAGCTTTTAACAGTTCAATTAGTTAAATCAGATGTACTTGTAAGTTAAGTGGAAATAAATGAGAAATAAATTACCACAATCATCTTCCATCAATAGTAATGTTATGATGGGATGAAAAGTCAAAATTAAATTGATTTACTCATTATCAGTTTAGGGGTTGTGGAGATTAAGACGTTTTTGATTGAGATCATCAACCGATTGATGTTAGACCACCACTGAAAACCTGGACGCACTGGACGGCCGTTTCGTCCTACTATGGGACTCCTCAGCATTGCGCATCCACGATCCCACTCGTGTGATTCGAACTCAGGGCCTTCAGTCTCGTGCGTGAACGCTTAGCCTACTTAACCACTGAGCCGGCATCCAATGGTGTTAATGTCTAACATCAACCGATCCACGAAGTTGCGCGACCATCTTCCATTGTACTGAGGTAGACACCTGTTTCTACCCGACACGGATTAGCTCCACTGGTCACGGCTTCTCACCAGAACTCTGAGAATTTTCTCATGAAGCTAGTCACTAGTGAGCACATGGTAATTATCAGTTTAGGGGTTGTGAAGATTGTTTAGTTTTTGATTGAGATCATGAACTCATTATGACTTTTATTCAACATTAATTCCGTTTAACTCCATTTGATGATTACTCAGTATAGTATTTGTTTCCTTTTCCCCTATGACATTTTATTTTATATAACAAACGAGATTCTTGTAAGAAGTATTTTTCATAAATGTGATTTTTTCTGATTATTAAACAAAAAGGGTGTACAAATCAATATATAAATGAGTGCATTTCCAACTAGACTTGTCATGATTGCTCTTGCTTCTGGCTGCTTGCAGAATATATTTCACCGTTTCGAATTTGGACTTCGCTCTTTAGTTAGCGAGGCTGGGATGCATCAGAATAGTTAGCTTATTGGTCTTTGGTCACAGAGATTTTGTTCCGTTCGCAAACTAGATGAACTCGCAATGGCTTCAAACATAATAGGTAAGTAGAAATTTTCTTGTCAACTATTTCGAAAAACGTCAACATATGATATTGAAAGGTTTCAAAGTTTACATTCCAATTGTCTGAACACTTCTTATTACATAATTTAGATCACTTATAATGAATGTTATTCTAATGTCCATTTTTCCAAGTCGTTTTACTATATCCTATTACGAAATATTGTTTCAAGCCTTTATTATTCTTATCACAACTAGTACACCTGTCATCACACATTCAATTTGTACTTTTTACTTATTATTTATTAATGCAGTCCTTTTTACTGTTATCACTGACTCCACAAACTGCCTTGATCAGTTCAATAATTCCATATATGATATACAAATATTATTGTATATTAGAGTAAGATTGGTTCAGTGAAGAGTTCTCTTTTCGGTGGATTCATCTTCAAAGTTGTACAATCGCGAATATATATACTTATTTTTACAGCATGATTATGATAATAAACTTCTGTTAAAAATGGTAACAGTAGGGTACAAGAAACAAAGGTATTACAAAACTCTTTTTTAGTCAGGAGAACTAATAATCGTTTTACGGTTAAAGGCTTGAATATTGATTATATATATACAATACTAGTTAATTTGTTGTAACGTAAGCATAAGCATTTACATGTTTTGAGTAGTATTTTAAAATTAAGTATAAAATGTTTGAAATATTTAGTGATATCTTGCCTAAAATATACTATGCGGGTAATTTTTTGGGAACAGTTATATGAAGCAATGAAAAAATACAGTTTAATAAATAAGCTAAGTAAATAATAACTTATAGTTGCTTACTTTATTGCCTTCTCTTGAGCTTCCATATCAGGTGACGGAATCCATACACATACAGATGGTACTAATGCTTCGACTTTCCCATCAATACTTCTAATATGCCAATGAAGCTTTGACGATGATTGTCCCAACGGACTGACATTTTCTGTAAAAGTACTACTCGTTTGATCACTACTTGTGATTTCAGAACCACTGGTTTGACCACGACCGAAATTCCAATAAGGCATTGTTGTAATTCTAGGTTTTGGATATCGTAAATAAGAGTTACTGTCAGTTGAACGATCGTCTATTTCTTCAGTTCTTGAATGACTGTCACTGTCTGTTTCACAAATATCCAATGTATCAGATGTCATATTGTGTGATGCTTCAGATGTTATATCTTCCTCTTGATTAGTACCTGTTCTTAGTAGGAATTTCTGTTTATTTTCTACACCACCAGCCATATTGTCGATTATAACAATTCGTTCACCAGCGGTTAGTTTAAATTTAGGTGTTTCATAATCGCATAACATTACACCATTTACAGGGGATTTAATACGATTAGTTCGTAGATAAATAGGCACAAGTGATTTAGATTGTTCAATTAATTGTTTTGAACGATTGACCACATAGTTTAAATGATCAAACTGACTCTGTAAACAGATAATATTTTCCAATAAATAATGAATTGAATTTGAGTTATTGAACTAAAGACAATTTTCATAATAATAATTAATTTCCTAGAGTACTCTTACCACGATTTTTTCTCTTAATAACGAATTATCAAGTATTTTCATAAAGATTTCGATGATAAATACATTGGTTATTTAATCAGAACATTTATATATCTATATATATACATAATCAAGTGGCCATCAAGACTCAGTAGCTAAGTGGATAACATGATGGAGTTTGAAGCTAATGGTACTTGGTTTGAGTCCTGTAGTGAACGTCAATTCTAGGTTGCAGGTACATCTAGCTGACGAGTCCCAAATGGGATGAACGCACACAATAGATTCCACTGCTAGCCACTATCCCTCATTGTTTATAATGCTTGTGAATTAGATAATATGCACAATATGCACATATGCCAACAAGAGACTGATCAATTGCAGTCATACACAACAATGGGAACATACAGGTAAGCAACATCAAGTGAATTTAACCCAAATAAAATATTTAAAAATCAAAAAAATATATAACAGCCTAGTTAAAATCTTCGCAAAATTACATTAACATATTTAACTAATTTGTATGTCTAATGTAAAAATATTTCAAAAGAAGAGAAAATAAATTGAAAGTACACTGATTCTTTTTGAACTTCAAACAATTACTGAACACTATAATTTAATTAAAACCAAATTAAACTGGTGATAACCAAGTGCTTATAATGCAATAGATACTCTAATATATATATCAGGTGATATCAGACAATACAACATTCTATTTGCTTTATGGCATGCATATCAAGCAAATGAATAAATTAAAAATTGACAAAGAAATGAGGTCAAATAAATCCATCTCTACTTTTTGTTTCATCTTTCAATTTTAGCCTCCACCGAAACATTCATTAAATACTTGTATCTCTTTATATATTCATCATATTTAATTGTTGTAATTAGTGTTAATACAGTAATGTCGAACTGTAAACGTTGATGTATCATTTTGTCAACAAACATTTTTGAATATCTATGCATATTACATTAAATATTAGTTATTTAAATTGATGTAATATCATGTGCCTACTGAAAATATATTTGAGTAGTATGTTATTTAAAGCATAAAAATATTGCGAGTCTTTCTCTTCAAGGTAGGCATGATTGTTAGATTATACTATTGATATACTATTGATATACTATTGATTATACTATTTGATACCAGTTAAGATAAGTATAATCAAACTTGCAATTCTGTGAAAATTAAATTACGCATATAAAATTGCACAAATCCAGAAATAATTTACACTTACTCTTAACCAATCTCTTAGTTCTTTTGATGAATTTGTATAATATTCATGATTCATTTCAGCAAATCGACCACGATTATATAGAAATTTCTTATGTCTGTCATAAAGTTTAGTTTCTAAATGTCTGGCATCGTAATAAAACTAGAAAGACAAAAATAGTACAGCTTAATCGTTTTCATTTTCATTTCAAAGAAAATTTAGTGTTAAATTACTTTTTTTTTTAAAAATTTTATTCAAAACCAAAACAATACTCTTGAGTAATAAGGAGAGAGTCTACATGAGTAAAGTTTTATGTGGTTTGTTTATACATCAGACGTCTTTTTTTAATCAATTTTCTGAACTGCTCTAGTCAATTACACTTCCTATAACTCATAAGGATTTAAGCTTGATGAGGAAATTATATGTTGATTCGTTTATAAAGTATATCTCAACACTGGATTTTCGGTTATCTGTCTTTGAAGAACATGACAAACTCAATATTGTACCCTCACATTTCTAGTTTAAGAAGAAATATACGAGAAAATGTTTTAAATATATTGAAAAACATATTTTCATCCAATTAATCAAACGTCAATCAATACCTTTCTTAAGGTCACCCTCTCACTACATTTATATAACTATATGTAATTTCATTTGCAATGATATAGAAAGTGTTAATACACTGGTTTTTTGAACAAATGCTTTGTCAATCTGTTTCTAACAAAACATAGTTTTAAAAGTTCAACTGTTAAGTCATTAGTACGAAAATGAAATAAAGTGTATGTCTTTAGAAGTTCAAATTAATCGAAAAACTACAAATGCCACTTTTACCCAACATTACAGAGACAATTGTCATCAAATATACGTTTATGTGTTTTAGAAGAACAAGTGACATATTGGCTTTTTGTCTTGATAAACACAATTTTAATCGATATCATGAATCGATCAACATTAGACTACCACTGGAAACCTGGAAGCAATGGACGGCCGTTTGTCCTAGATTGAGACTCCTCAACAATTTCCAGAATCTTATATTGAGAATTTTACTAACCTCATTTTATTGTTTACATAATTGATGCTTATTCATCAAGTGGAATTCTAGTAAAATGACAACAATCTGTTGTGTCAACACTTATTTTATTCACTATGGTTATGTACATGCTTATTTTTACTATGTTTATCGATATACATAAATTCATCTCCGCTACTCTATATAACTATTTTCCTTAAAAATCCATCTGTTATATAGCGTTTGATACTAAAATTTATTGTTTCTTCTTTTTTTATAATGATTGTCATTTCTTACGTATATATTGTACCATTCTGAACTAACCAGATACGTTACTATGAATATTATTGACCGTTACCATTAAACTGCATAAGCAGAGGGTAGTCAGAATTCTGTAGCTAAGTGGATAACACGATAGTGTTTGAAGCGAACGTTACTGGGTTCGAGTCCCAGAGTGAACGTCAGTTCTGGGATGCAGGTACATCCAGATGACGAGTCCCAAGTAGAATGACACGCTCATCCTGGATTTGACTGCTAGCCACTTTCCATCTTTGCTTATAGTGCCTGTGACTTAAGGCAATATCGAGGCGTTCCGTAGAGAATGCACACATGTCAATAAAACTAATCAACTGCAGTCCTAAACATCAATAGGAAGATTCAAATAAAATGAATTTAGTGGATCTTCATTAAAAAATACAATGTAACATTTATACCTTTCTACGTAAATATATAGAGGATTTTGTAATAATGAGGACCATAATACGCAAATACATCTATTCATGACTGGCAGGTTGAATATATGAAAAAAATTAACAACTGAAAATGTTATACTATATTCCCGTGACATTTACTTTGCAACTATATTATAAACAATATTCATTACAATACAAACTAAAGTACCATCTGTAAGGATATTATCTTGTTAACTATAGGAGTTTAGTCACTAAAATGTATTGCGTAATTTCAAGTTTATAAATGTAGATGTTAATTTGATTTATATTTCGAGCAATTATAAAGGACTCAGTTATAAACCATATTATTTTATTTCTTTCTTTGATCAACATCATGAACCGATTGATGTTAAACCACCATTGAATACCTGGAAGCACTGAACGGCTGTTTCGTCCTATTGTGGGACTCTTCAACAGTGCGCATCCACGATCCCGCTCACGGGATGGAGCTAATCCGTGTCGGGTAGAGATAAGTATCTACCTCAGAACAATGGAAGATGGTCGCGCAATTTCGTGAATTGTTTGAGGTTAGACATTAGCAACATTGGATGCCAGCTCAATGGTTCAGTAGGTTAAGCGCTCGTGCGCAAGACTGAAGGCCCTGGGTTGGAATCCCGTGAGCGGGGTCGTGGATGCGCACTGCTGAAGAGTCTCGTAATAGCACGAAACGGCCGTCCAGTGCTCCTAGGTTTTCAATGGTGGTCTAACAGCAATCGGTTCATGATCTCAATCAAAAAAACTTCTTAATCTCCACAACACTTATACTGTTATATTATTTTACCTAATTGGATCTGAATTATTTTCCGGATTACGTAATAAGAATTAAGATATAAATTTACTAAGTATATCTAATCTAGTTAAGTATTATTTGTCATACAATTTTTGTTTTAGATTTCATAAGAAGTAATTTTACCAACAAAAAATACCTAATTTATTGAAGACCATAGATCAATTATACAGAATTAATTGATAATAAGTAAAATATACCAAATTACCTGATGAAAATCGGCAGCATTTTTAAGATGTATAGTTGCTAATTCTGAATATCGACCAAGATTTTGCCAGCATCGATTAATAGGTCCAGATAATTTCTAAAAATAAAGAAAAAAGAGTTAACAGTGACTAATGAAAAAACAGCAACCGATTTCTACATATCAACTAAGGTCCTGTATTTGTTTATATGAAATTTTTAGCAAAAAAATAACGTTAATTTCTCATATAAACAAAATTTGATTTTACTAGAATAAAGATTTTGCATTTTTGTTTTTGTTTAGATATTATGTAATATTACATAAGATTTCTATTACATAGATTTGTAACATTAATTGATTATCATAAGCTTTATAAGTAAAGATGGATAGTGGTTAACAATGGAATTCAGGATGTGGGTTTCATCCTATTTGGGACTCGTCAGCTAGATGTACCTGTATTACAGAGTTGATGTTCACTCTGAGACTCTAACCCACTACCGTTCGCTTCAAATGCTATCGTGTTATTCCCTTAGCTACTGAGTCCTGAATAATTGCGTCATTCAGATTTATAGCTAAACTGTAAGTAGTATGAAATGTAACTTAGAAAATATTGTTTAAATCGATAATAGTATTGCAATCTCTTCGCTGTGTATATAAAAGACACTTCATTCATATCTTTAGCTAAACACATTCAAATGATAGTTTATCAAGAGTTGAAGATTTTCACGATTCCAACTGATATAGTCATATCAATGTTTACAAAATAAGAATGATTTTTACTCGATAGTGTTTATATTATTGTTTATAATAAATTCATTAAGTATCAATGGTGACTTAAACTTAGTTTGTTTTTTTATTTTGTATATTATTCTTACTGATTGAATATAAATCATATGAAGAAAAGATGTTAGAACTTTTCACATAGATTGTCAATAATCTATATATTTTTTGTTATATTTCAATGAGTAGAAAAATTGTATTTTTGACGTTTTGTTACTTAGTATAAGTCGCTTCTTCAGAGTAATCATTCTCATCGATATAAATAAATTATGAATTGTAGAAGTATGGTAAGAATAAGCTGAAGCTAATATTGTGGTGTATGCTACTGATGTCGACAGATAGAAGTAGTATGTATCACCAATCGAAAATGGAATGCCTGGTGGTAGAAGGTTGAGGAAATCGAAGAGAATAGAACGAGAACAGTAAGTGATGGGTATGGATACAAAGGAACAAGAAAGTCTTAGAGGATTGATTGATATTTAGCGAATGAAGTATTTACTTTATGTAAATAAAATAAGATATTTGTAATCTAAGATTAATTTTGATTCGATTTTTTATTCTCTGAAGAAGTGGCTTACATTGAGTCATGAAACGTCAGAAAGTCTCATTTTTCTACTCATTGAGATATTACAAATATATTAATTTATTTATAATAATTTGCCCAATGCTCAACTTATTTGAAATTATCAAGTCAATCCTTGGTAATGATACCTATTTACTGTATGGTTCCCAGATTTTACAAAGATGTTCTTTAATTTTGTATTACAGTACATTCGATTGTCCTCACTTGTGTTTTCATTCATTACAATGTTATTTATATTAAGTTTACTTTTAAATTTAAAATGTAAATCAAGAAGTTCACTTTATTATTCAGTAATAAAGAACTTGGATACATCAATAGTCTTTTTAGTCAATTAAAAACCAGTAGATACCATAAATTTTGATAGAGTTTTGGGCGAGACTATAATTTATAGACGAGCCAATCAGAAGCGTTTGAAGGATTTCAAGGTTACAGTGCCAACTTCATCCATTTGGCTAAATAGAGTTTTGACGTCAGTTCGTGATGAAAACCCTATATATAATTTCTAACTAAGGCAAATTAGGACAATTATTGCAAACTGGATAGTAAAAGCACCAGTAACACAGGCTGCAGCCAGATACTACAATATATACGGATGATTGGAGAGCGTACAGACTCCTAAATAAAATTGGTTATGTGCATCGCGTCGTTATCCACAAGTGGCATTTTGTGTACTGAACAACTGGAGTGCACACAAACGATATTTAAACTATGTGATCGAGGCTGAAAGAGTTTTTGCGACCTTATCATGGCTCCAGAGGTCAACTATTCTGTAACCAAATGGATGATTTCCTCTACTGCATGCATTACTATTTTACAGCGTCTGAACCTCTTTCTAACCATGACAAGTTTTTGAACCATGTATAAGAATTGTATCCACTTTATTTATTTGGTTTTGAATGATATATCTTTACTCTATACTGACTGTTTGCTGATTGGCTAATATTTCTCAACGTCACTTAAAAGGCTGTTCGTAAATTACAGTTTCGCTGAGTTTTGTTCTCTGAGCTAGATGGTTTGGCCCTGGAACTATCATCGTTCTTCTGAACGACATCCTCAGCATAAACTGTAGTTATTTACAATGAATGATTTTGTATTGAGAATATATTAATATACTACTAATCAACTTGATATTGTGAATAGATAAAAGTATAAACTGATCAAAACTATCAAAATGTTACACAAACATTTGATAACATATAGATAGTTTTAATGTATTTTTAGCTCATAATCAACAATAGTACTTTATATGAAATAATTGATATTTATCATTTTATTGTGTAAAACAAAAAATAAATCCATACTGATATATGAGTAGAGTGAATAACATGGACAAATATATCAAAACTAGAAGGGGTTTTGTGGAAATTTTAGTAATTTCATTAGTTGAAATCATGGGTCGATTGAAGCTAGACCACCATGGAAAACCTGGATGCACTGGATGGCCGTTTCGTCCTAGTATGCGACTCCTCATCAGTGTGTATCCACGATCCCACCCCGCGAGATTCGAACCCAGGACCTATCAGTCTTGCGCGCGAGCGCCTAACCATTAGACCACTGAACTGACATCCAACGGTGTTAATGTCTAACTTCAACCGAAAATCTCCACAAAACCCCTTCTGATGATAATCATCTGCTCACTAGTGACTGACTTCAATAAGCATTTCCTGGAGTTCCAGTGAGAAGCTGTCACCAGCGGAGTTCAGCCAGGTCTGTTGTGAGATATCAGCTCACCGAAGACAACGGTGACGGTGGCGCTATTTCATGCAATGGTTGAAGTTAGACATTAACACCGTCGGATGTCGGCTCAATGGTTTAGTGGTTAAGCGCTCGCGCGCGAGACTGATAGGTTCTGGGTTCAAGTCTCGCGGGGGCAGGATCGTGGATGGCGCTGCTGAGGAGCCCCATCCTAGGACAAAACGGCCATCCAATGCATCCAGGTTTTCCATGGTGGTCTAAATATGTCATTGTATCATTATAATATGACGTAATATTGTTACTAAGAAATCATTTATAGCGTTATATAGTTGTATTTCATGTAGTTTAATTTACTGTCCTTTAAATGCTAAGCAACTAAATTGTTGAGATATTTAATATCGATTACAGGTGGATGATATAATATTTGAAAAAAATTCTATAATAAAATAAAATAAATTGAATAAAACACATTAAATCCAATCACATGAAATCATATGAACTTCATTTCGATTATTTTCAAACTATTAATTTTACTAGTATCATAAGATTGAACTCATAGAATACAGTTATTAAATAGATCAAATCATTTAGACTGTATGGATACTGTATTCCATTTTATTATTACCTGTACTAAAAGTATTAATATCTAAGCAAATTTTAAACTTTGAAATGTTGATCAGATTTAATGGATAAAAGAATGAAGAAATATGTACAACTAATTGTGTCTCAGCGTTTTTTTAGCATAGTTGTTTTCTACGTAATGGGGTTGATGACACCACTTGCAAACCTCCTCCTCTATTCGAGCTTGATACTATCAGAAGCTTTAAAAGAGCTACAGGTGGACAACATTCTTATAGTTGAAGAACATATGAAATTCAAAACAAATGTCAACTAATATCAAAATCAGAATTTTCAATATGACCGTCAAGACAGTTCTACTGTACGGAGCTGAAACTTGAAGAACTATTACAACCATCATAAAAAAGTACAAGTAGTTACAAACAATTGTCAACGTATGATATTCAATGCCCGTTGGCCGAATACCATCAGTAAGAGCCTATTATGAGAGAGAACAAACCAGCATCCAGCTGAAGAGGAAATTAGGAAAAGACACTTGAGGTGGATAGGACATCTATTACGGAAATCATTAAACTGCAACATGATAAGAGTCAACGATAAAATAGAACAGTTCATTAGGTCTATATCATTAGTGTTGGAATAACAATTTGTTACCTTTTAATAAACTTATGAATACCTTATTCATTTATGTTTTTTGTCAATTTATTTTCATTATATTCACTTCGAAATATTATGCATAATGTTGATTTTGTAATAGCTTTCTACACAACTGTGTTAGGTTATATTTTGTAGCATCTGTAATATCTGTAATCATATTAGTCAGTGTGTGTTTGTTCTAGAGGATAATTGAATAGTATGTTAAAGAATGATACTTCAAGAAAATAACTTCTCTTCTTGTGGAATCCATCTGATAGTTTAAACAGAAAAACTGTTTCTATTATATATAGACGTGAACAGATCTAACATGTGTAGTATAAGAACAGGTCTCTTTAAACGGTCATATCATCAGTAGAATTTAGTTGAAAAACAAATGTAAGAAAATTTATAAGTATAAACTAAAAGTTGTCATCAAATCTAAGTTACTTCATTCAAAGATTTAAAAAATAGATATAAAAAAATGAATGAACATATAATGTATTAGAATAGATCTGTATTTGATATCCGGTGTTGAATACCATGAAACACAAACACGACGCATAATTGTAATTTAAGAAGTAACAAGTGAGATGCAGTAGATGTTATGAGTGATATAGTGATTTGGAAATTCAACTTAACAATTGAGCTAACATCAATCATAAGGCTTGTTACCTGTGTAGCCTTGCCATCAAAAAGGATGCATTTCAAAGCATTTACACTACATAGTCGAGTGAAATGCAGTCATGTTCTAGAGTGGGTTGTCAAGTGTTCAAATCTGAGGAGTCCTGAAACTAAACAAAGTAATTTTCCAATCCTCCTTGGTTTTTAATGGTTCTCAGGTCGATATCGTTTCGTATAAATAATTGCTTCCAAATTTGTGATTATTTCTACTATTGACTCCTTGACTAGCTAGTATGTAACTAGTTTATTCAAAAGTCTTATTGAGTAGCTTAATCATACATTATTGGTGAATAATACTGTTTTATCAATAAAAATTATCAAGATGTTTAAAAGAGAATAGTTGATGGTGAAGCTATAATTAATAGACGACCTTTGAGCGACGCTAGACTGACCTTAAGAGTGTCCACCTAATATTTAGGATCATATGAGTGTTATAAACCTGCATGAAGAATTAGAATTATCATTTACAATTGATAGTTAAGGTTAGGAATTAGATTTAGGGTTTTCATCATGAACAGACATCAGCTTTAATGCCAAAACTCTATTTAGCCAAAATCTGAGACCTGTTATTTTATATCTGATTGGTTTGTCCATAAATTATAGTCTCGACTAGTTGATTTTGAAAGTATTTTCCAGTTGTTGGTGTATTGTAAAATTAGTCTAACAAATAGTATTTTAATTGTTTATGACTCTATATTTCTTTAATTTCTTCCATAAAAGTATAATGTTTTTAATGTTTACATATTATTAGTTTCCTTTTCATATCTACGTGAATGTATTGTAGTGTCGGTTACTATGTTTAGCCCACATACCTTATTCTAGCTTCTGAACAGGCGAATATATTCATTCTTCTTGAGTCACGTTTTGACCTTGTCAATTATTCGCTAATTAATCTTGACTGTATTTTTATATGATCGTATGCGTATACACTTCTTATCCTATTCACCCCATGTCTGTAACTTATTTTTATCTAGCTATAAATATTGATTAACGCTTGATCAAATCGATTTGGCTCACTGCGTGTCACTTTACTTCGATCTCTTCTGTACCTTCACTACCTTTGCTTCATCTTCCTGATTGTCCGTTCAGGTTAATGAGTATACTAAATACTAGTATTCAAACTCCATTCTTATATTTAACTTATTTAATTCCGTTATTCACTAACACGATTTAAGTCCATAACAATATACGAGAATAGTCAAGATGTATATTTCGATAGCAATCATTCAATAACGATCATTTATCCTATCTGATTAAAATCAAACATTAGGCCATTGAATTATTATTTAATTATCAGTATAGGGGTTGTGGAGATTATTAAGTTTTTAATTGAGATTATGAATCGATCGATGTTAGATCACCGTTGAAAACTTGGAATTGTTTGAGATCTAAATTGATGTGTATGAATTTTGAGCAAAGAAAAAAAAACATGGAATACTTGAACTCGAATCATTTTCAAGTAAAGAATTCATGATGATGATGAGAGGGAGACTTATAATTAATCACTTACATTAAGAACTGTTATCTAAAAAGTTAGTAGGTTACTTTTTTTAAAAAGAAAACACTCCAGGTATCTATGAATAGACTTACTCTTCTCCAAAATTTATTATCAAGATTTTCCATAATAAGTCTTAATGCACGTTTAGCATTGAATGCTGCAACATCCTATGAACAAAAATATATTAATTTACATTCAATATGAAGTATGATGAATACTTACAGAATAAATATCTTCCATACTTGTAATTCCAGCTAAATAATGTAAACAATCTTTATTCGTTTCAACTCGTTCCTATTAAAGAATGAAATAAACAATTTATACTCTATGATTTTAAATATAAATGCTTACTGTTATATAGCTGATTTGATTCAAAATATCATGATTCTAAAAATTAAAATGGTTTAGTGTCATTATTGTATTTTTATATTATATCATACCGAGCTAGTTACACTTTCTTTTATCCATTTTGACGATCCTTCAATTGTCTGTTGTCTAGCCATTTCATCTTCCAAACTTTGATGGGTATAACCGAAAATTGGTGTTTCACATGCATTCTATGTAATACAAAGAGAAAAAAAAGACAAGAAAAATCGTGAAACATGTGACGAGTATAAGAAAGTGTTTGAAATTAAATCGATCATAAATAGTAATTTTAGACTTGAAATTATTATTAATTCTATACAACCTTCAAGTATTGATGTTAAGATAGAAGTAATATATAAAACTTTGACTTAATAACCTAAAGCTATAAAGCAACTGACGTGACTCAAAACTGATCAGCTCGAATTGGTTAAAGTAAAAGACTTAGTTCAGCATGACAAAATTATCCTAAAATCTGAGACATATCTTGATTACGAATTGGGAATCAGCACTCAATATCTTTTTTCACATAGTTTAGAGCATTTGTGCATACCCGCAATCATATGCTTGGTCAGGCCTACAATCCACAGGCCTTATGGTGTGAATTATAGCAACTAGACAGTAGACAGGTATCAATAAGTCACACTTTTATCCTTACTATCCCGATCTGCAAAGCCTTCATGAGTTTGTCCTAGTTTTTGGACGGACAAATCATTTTTGTTGGCTTTATATATCTTGCCACTATCAGTTATACACCTTGATTGTTTTAATACATTCTTGGCGTACGTATGTCTACCTATCTACCTGGTTGCCTTTTCATACTAGTCATAAAAATTGATTCACACTCAATTAAGTTAAGTAGGTCTATCACCTTGCTTGTCGTATGTGTCTGCACAAGTAAATGTCTGAAATGAATGTATTCAAAATGCATTTCGTATTCGACTTTTATTACTTGTACTGTGTGACGTGTCGATAGGTAAACCATATCGGGAACTAGATATAATCCATCTTACATCGGGTTCATTCAACATCGTCATCACTCAGTCAGTGAGATACTAGAAAACACATTCTGTAAAATACAAATCTTCCTCTGATTTCATTGATGAATTAGTGTTTTACTCTTGATTTTGTTGGTTGTATATATAATACAAATTCTTATTGATGTTTCGGCAGACCCATGTTGAACATAATATTGATCTGCAATTGTCATATTTACTAGAATCCTGCCATGAACCAATTTAGTAGATTAAATAATAATAAAGAGTAGATTCATGTTACTAGAAAACCTCCATCTCATAGTTTCCATACTAGTATTGAAACTAATATCATTTGGAAAATATGAAGATACCGAAAGAAATCAAACACTTGTTTTGTCTTCTATTAGGAAACGGCTACACAACATGCATCTATGAAAACTTATAAGATTGGTTCTATGAAATTAGGTTCCTATCATTTGTAGACATTTGTTAACCTAATGCAGTTAAATAAGTCAGGAGTGAACAAAAGTTACGGGTAAACCGATAAGAGGAGGTTCATCCTTAAATATGGTTACTAAAGAGTGATCTGAATGATATTCATTTAGTGCAGGTGGTTAATGAATTACATCAGTAGGTTTCGTCATGTTTCCATTCGGTAAATCATTCCAATTATTTACTAATTATGACAGACAAGTTTTTTGATAAATATTCACCCTAATCTCCATATCCATGTAGATCACTAACACTAGTCACTATTACAATGAGATTAAAATTATTTTGTACCTTTCTTTCGAATTCTTTCCTCCTATATTATGTCTTTATACTTAATCTTTCTTTTATACATTACCGATTCATATGTGTGCTTGGTCCTACGTTTTAGCTGACTGACTGACTCTAGTAAAATATTTATCAGAAATATGATGACTTTGAAAGAGAATTTAATGAACTGAAGTACTATCAGGATGAAGTACTATCTACCAAAGAACAAGCAAAAATCAAAATAAACAAAGTATTTATTTCTTTTTGACTTGAAGCACCTCCAGTATGACACAATGATATATGGAAGTAAAAATAAGGACCATAAGATCTCGCATGATAGCTATCAGTGATTTTGGTTGACTACAACAGCTTATAGTTTCCATCTGTATGGTTTAAATAATAACTACTTTCAGTGATTTAAGTCACTTTCATTCAAACCAATTGCTCAAGTTATTTCAACTAAACCATTTTAATTTGTAAAACTTATGAATCCATAACATTTTTGTTGTCATACAAAATTTACATATTTCTAAACATTTTACAGGGACAAGTATTTAATAAATTTGATTTAACAGACATCTAGGGTAATTAGACTGCTATTTTATTGACTAAATTATAAGATCTACTATTATTTAACTCATTCATCATTTCATTTCAGTTGATTTTAATCATTTAAAAAGTACACAACATCTTGTTGTACTTCATTATACTTGACATCTTATTATTATTTTAACAGATAGAAGTTTTTTTTTAAAGAAAAAAAAATCAACCTAGCAACAAATATTTGTCTTACAAGTTGTCTATGAATGATATAATTCTATTTATATAACCATAGCAACTCATATACAACACACAACAATCTATTCATTGATTAATAAATCAATAAATTTACGATAATATAATGATGAAATAAGATAGCTGTGCCAAATAAATTTTCTCTTTTTTTTCTTTTTTTTCCTTAGATTTTATTAAAAACATAAAGATATACTATAAAAGTATTCAATAGACAATACTCTTTCTGTACAATACAATAAATAACTTCTCGTTTGTTTTGTTTTAAAATAAAAAAAATAGTAATAAACAATACTTTGTTAATTTTATTAATAATAAGTAGTATATTAGTATTATTAGTGCAAGTTATTCTTTGTCACTAATGACTACTAATTCATTTGTATAAAAGTAACTATGCATATTTTTTTATGAAAAAAAAATAAGTTAGTTTATATATTCAATATGATACATATGATACAATTATTTTAAGGTTCATTTTAATCTTTACAATTTTTATATTTGTGTTAGTTTAAAAATAATATGTAGGTATTAGTTTAAAAGTAAATATGATGTATATAAGTGAGTTTGTGGTTGATTAGAGGTTGATGTACTTCTTCAGTTGGTATATATATATATATATACATATATTAGTGTATGTTAGTAAGTAACATAGAAATTCCAAAGTAAATTTCAATGTGCATAGTTATTTATAGATTGATATATATGAGCTGATTGTGTGTATATCGTTCAAACGTTTAACTATAATAATTCACATAGTAACAAACATTCGAATTGTTATTATAATGAAAACAGTAATAATAATAATATAATGGTAATTAACTCCGTCTGGAGCCCCTCTGGGGTTACTGCCGGTCCTAAACCCGGATGAAGGAGGAGGGTTAGGCATGGGGTTAGTGACCCTACCTCGTAATAAACTAACTGACTAAAAAACCGCTTACCAGAAAAAAATTATTCAAACCATTTAAACTCTGCTCTGGGAGTCAGAATGTCTTAAGTAATAATAATTATCGATATGAACCTATTTTCATTCTCGTCAGATATACTTTCTTAAAGTATTAGAGAATTTATTCTTATGAAAACCTCACTTCGTCTAAAGAAACTATGAATCGGTTTTTGTTTTAGTTTTATTTATTGATCATGTTCTATTTAAGAAGAAAGAATTCGAAACATTCTTTGATTGATTGTAATACATAGTGTGAAATGTATTTATAAAGGTTAAAAGGAATGTATAAATAGTGTGACCATTCATCAATGTAGTATCTAAATTTCAATTATTCAGCTAAAAATAACCATATATGATAGGTTATTAGAATATATCATAACTTTAATTGCTAAAGAGATTCAAATAATTTGATTTGTTCTACATGAAACCCATCACTATTGTTTGTTTAGATTTGAATTAGTATATCTGATACAAGTTAAAACTGCAATATCCTTCTTTAAATGATGTCCTGTTACCTAACTAAATATTCGATTACAATAATCCCTTTTTAATGGATAGTTAGTATTATTCAGATGAAAGTATGTTTGATTGACCAGTACATCATATATTTCACTGACTATGTAGATTTTTAATAATGTGGTGTATATTAAAATTTTAGTTTTATGATACAATAAAAAGTTTATTAGGTTTTTTTCACTAAGAAAAGAAATCTGAGTATTTTAGTTGTAAAAGTTTCTCATACATGTCAATTACAGTTTAAGATAAGAAACTACTGTAATTTATATCACTTATTCACGAGATGTAATGGTTAAATGAATCGTTATTTAATTGTAATAATCGTTGAGTTAACAAAAACCAAACTTAAGAATCAAAGTCAATGAGTTTAGGTTAATTCTTGGTACTTATTCGTCGCATAAATGTCAACTATTGAGCTACTGTTTAATGATTTTATCAATACCCCATTTTCTGATACATATTTTCTTGTAAACACCCATCTTGTGACCTTTGATTTGATCCTACATGGTGAATTTAAAGTATCTCTTTAAGTTTCAAAGTCTAAAAGATGAATCATTAAGAAATAATTTACTTGAAAAAAAGTAAACATGTATTTATCAGAAAGGGAATTCGTGAATATTACAGTAATTTAACAGCTGAGTTCATGAGTTAATTGAAGCCAGACCATCATAGAAAATCTGGAAGCACTGGACGGTCGTTTCGTTCTAGGATGGAACTCCTCAGCAGTGCGCCTCCACGATACCGCCCCCCATGAGATTCGAACCCAGGGCCTATCAGTCTCGCGCTTAGTTTCTAAACCACTGAGCAGGCATTCAACGATTTTGATGTCTAACTTCAATCAATCCATGAAACTGAGCCACCATCTACCATTGTATTTTATAATGCAATGGAATCTTTAATTCTGAAATGCGAGACGTAAATTTATAAAATAACCAAAGAGTATCATGAACACTTTGAAAAGTCAATACATTAGAGAACTATTTTTACTTCATAAACTATTAAGTACAGTTAATAATATAATGTAGATACCAGACAGTATTGTTTAGCTAAGTAAGTTTAAACTTCTGTCTATGCTTTTCAAAACCTTTATACTATTAATGCACAGTTAATTTCATATTACCTAAATTTATATCTATATACGAAATATTAACTTCCTGATACTTAACTATATGACCCATTAATTATTATTCATTCTTTCATAGACTAA